CCCATACCTTCCAAGGCAAATATTCTTTCTCCAAGAGCTTCAACAATTGTAAGGAGAGCTACTTCATTTGAGACATTAAAGAAATGCTTTTCAGTTGGCCTGCTTGCAATGGATTTGATTTCCTCCACTAATTTCTCAGGGTTTCGATTTCCTCTGTTATAGGAGCCAAGAATCTGTGGTATGGTATGCAGAAAAAAAAAGGAAGAAGCAATTTAAAAAAAAAAATGGTCTACATGTTACTAGTAGCTCACAATTGGTAACATGTGAGAAACATAAAATGGCACAGTCTGCAACTTGGTCATAGACTTCAGCCTCTAGAATAATTGCAGTGGAAGTGGCTAGCCCAGACTAACAGCATTCAGATCTGGACCAAGTGTGTGCTCATCAGAAATTTGCCACCAGAAGAACAATCTAGAATGACCTTCCCTAACCTGTTGCCTTTATGTAAGGATTAAAAGACTGAAAATTCCCAAACAATTGTGGATTCTGGAGGTCACGGTGTTTATGCGTGCTATGAAAATTACATAGGCTAATCATGACCAGATAGATAAAACACAGAATTATTATTTTCTGATCAAATATCACCATATGTGAAAAATCCATTCCTCAAACACATTGATTCCATTATAGGTAGCTATAGCATAGTAACCTAAAAGTATTATTTTTAAGAGCAAGTATTAAGATTTTGGATTGGGATTGGGGAGGCTCAGATTCTAAGCTACCCTGAATCATGGAAACATGTAGGATGATTTTGGCCCAGTTGCTTTCTTTTAGCCCAACCTATCTCACAGTATTGTTGTTATGGAAGTAAATAGGAGGATGTCCATTATATATTCAAGATACATAATGAGAGAGAGATACACACACAGAGAGATACACACACAGAGAGATATATACTATAGAAAAAGTGGGATATACATCTAAATAAAAATATATATGTGTGAAACAATGAGTATTGACCTGAGTGATCTTGCAGCAACAGTTTTCCTGAAGCACTGTTTATTTTCAGCAGTCAAAGAGAAATAGAAGAACATGTCATTACTAGTAGAGTCAGCATGCACTTTAAACAAAATATGAATCCAATGAGTAATGAATAAAAAATTAGCATGTTGCTAATATTAGAAGAATACTAACTTATCAAAAAGGATTCTTTCCTGAAGGCAAATGAAAGAAAGGGGGAAAGAACCATTTCTAGATATACAGTACAGTTTTTTCTACTAAACATCACTTACAGCAATAGAAAATCTCTGTATACTGTCTTTTTCACAATCATCAATCACTTTTTGTAATCGGTAATTGTCATGAGATTCTCCATCAGTCACAACTACCATGACTTTTTGTACCCCTGGCCGGGCCCCATGAGCTTCTGTAAATGCTTCATTCCTAAAACAAGAGTGAAAACCTGTAAATCTGCAAACTGCAGACAAGGACAAAACATAAATACCAAAATCAGTAAGAAAAATAAATAAATGGCATGGTGGTTGATTCTATAGGCCTTTGGTTTGAATTTTCAGGGCTCCCATTATATTCTTAAAATCAAGTTGTACATGGGCAAGTCTGTGGAAGATCAGCATAATTCTTTATGTAGGTTGATACTTATGTATAAGGCTGTAGGCACCTACCTTGCTGTTTCAATGCCAAGAGCTGTCATGGTCTCGAATCCTTCTCTCTGTTTAATTTTGCCTGCTGCTACAAGCACTTCTTCTGTGGTTGAATATGTGTTGAGATAAAATTCATGGGTTACATTTTCTCCATATTGAACGATCCCAACCTAGAATTACAAAATCTTCTGCTCAGGAAATCTTCACAATGATGCCATAACTCACAAGACAGCAACTGAAGAATTTACCTTTCAGTTAAAGACAGAAGACCACCCACACTATTAAGAGTTTTTTTTATATATGGTAAACCAGAAATGTGGTCTACTAAGAATAAGCATTAGACTGTTGGACAGAGTTCAGTGACACAGACTTGATTCTTCTTGCCACTTGAAGCATCTAAACAGAGCACATGAAGTCTTATCTCACTCCTTTGCAGACTTGGAGTCAGTCTGTTTCACCATGTTCCATTCAGCTTGTATCTTATTATCTTTGTACAGGTTTCTGAGAACATGAAACCTATAAACAATAAGAACTTCTGGGATTCTCATTTTCTTCAGAATATTTCACAGCTAAAATCAATCAAGTCACTTGAAGGTCTTTTCAGAATCAATGAAGCACATGTTGATGGCTTTCTCAGTTATCTAATGGCATTAACAATAATGTATGTTGCTCAATCTTTTCTAAAGCCTAAACATCTATTATTTCTTTGTAGAACTCTAATCTGAATTGGATGATTATTTTATTAATGTGTGAAATTAGACTGCATACTCTGTTAAATTTCCTTCCTTTGATATCCGTATGTAGATACCTTCACTATATTGGCTGTTCTACAGAATTGCTGCATAGCTTGGTTGGATCTTCTACTGATTCTTCCTCTGTAAATGTTCTTCACATCCTATAGCCTTCCAACATATTAACGACATAGTGAGTTCTTCTATTTCTTAGTTTGGCAGTCTCTTTCCACACCCAACTTTAACAATATGATTGATTTCATTCTACAGTTCCTCTGATTTTCCATCAATGAGTTCGGAACTTCAAAGTGATTCCTGATGTTTTCCTTGAAAATGATGGAAATCAAAATAATCAAAACTATATTGTGGAAATCTGTTGGCTTTTTATTTCACTTCAGGTTGACCTGCAGTTTGCACATGATCTGTTGCATAGCTGGTCCCGAATATATTTCCTGTTACAATTGAATTGTTCTACCACTTTGTAGTAATAATATAGTCAGTTTGATTTTTGAGTACTCCCTTTATATAGGCATCACAGTTTCTTTAGGCAATGGCAAACAGGTGGATTCCTGTAATTGCTAATCAATTCACTTTATAAAAGAAAGGTGATATGCAACAAAATAATAGTGTTTTTCCCCAAATACCCCTTTCTTCATTTTCAGCTGCTTAATTTTATGAGAGGTTCTGATCTAAATGTGAGCTTCGCAATGTTCCACTAGTATATTTTAAATGTATGCTCTGCATTGATATTTTGAATATGCTGCCTAGTCCAGCCATTGAATGTTAATATACTCTGTCTTGGCATGTTTACCTCTTATTCATCCATTATTAAAACTCTCACTCTCTTAAAACACTGAACATTAATACAACCTATCCAGACATATACTTTTATAGCTGGATCAGTTTACATTCTAGCTTTTAGTTTTCAGATGTGCTTCTCAATCTGTTTTATAGCTCATCCCTTTTAATACAAACATCTTTGTTTACTGGCTGTCTTTGATGCAATTAAACTGAGGAATGTAAGGGTCATTAAGAGTCAGGAAACTGATTAAGACCTGGCTTTTCCACAAAGCTTTTGGAGACTGAGATGCTTATATGTGAACTATTAAAATATTTCTCCTAAGTTGGGAAGGAGGTTGTTCTGTGTCATAAGGGATGTGAATATTAGTAAAATTCTATCAGTCTATTTTCTACCAGTCCAGGGTGTATTTTTCCATATCTTGGTTGTTCATTTTTTGATACTTTGTAGGCCACTTACAAACATTATATAGAAGTGGCTTACAAAGTCTCAATATTGAGTAAAATACATAAAAAATTTGCATTTTACAAAAATGAGCAAAAGAAGAATGTTGTTCGAGTTTCTGATGATATATTTTCACCTGAAGAACCATAATGAAAAAAAATGGTTGCTTTTCTCTTGTCTATGGATTCCTGCAGTTGATGCTTGTTGATCATTATAGAAACTGGGATGGACTTCTGCTCTGTTGCAGCAACATTCTTAAATTTACTGGATACATTTAGTGTATCTGATTCTACTGATCTTCTACTTGAGAAGATTGTGTTCTGTGCAGATTGGATAGATCTCTCCCATGCTTGTACAATATATAACAGTGATGGTGAACCTTTTAGAGACCGAGTGCCCAAACTGCAACCCAAAATCCACTTATGCATCGTCGAGTGCCAGGTGGGCGTGGCCCATTGGGTGGGCGTGGCCGATTGGGCGGCGTGGCTGCGATGGTAACGGCAGACTGGATGGGACTAAAAAGTTCAATCAATTCCAACTTTGCAAGATCTTTTTTTTACCGTGAGAAGTTGAAATTGACTGATTGAACCTCTTTTTTTTTTGCACACGGCCTAAAGCGAAAAGGTTTTATAAAACCCAGCTGAAGGCCTAGGACTGGGGCGACGGCGTGCGTGCCCACAGAGAGGGCTCTGAGTGCCGCCTCTGGCATAGTGCCATAGGTTCGCCACCACTGATATATAATGTTCCCCTTGAAATGTTTGTGCTGACAGGTGGTTGTAGGGATGTATGCTTTATAGTGATGGCATCCCAAAACAGGTTCCTATTCTTAGCAGTTGATTTGGAAACGAGGGCATGCACACCTCTACTCACTCACACAGAAAGAACTAAGATCATTTCAGCTTCTTGAAAATTCTATAGAGTTCTGTCATAGGGAATAATGGGAAGTTGAAACAAAACTTTCTTGTTTTTGAACCTACAACTACAGAAATGGATGGCATGACAACCCAATCCTTGATGACAACCTACATTTCTTCCATGGACATTATAATAATATGTATTTATTTAATGCACTTTATGCATCTCTAAGGCCATTCAATTAGAATGCAATTACCTTCCTCCAAAAGATCAACCTCCCCCTTATACTTCTCCAGTACACTATCCACTTTTATCTATTCTGGAGCCTAAAACAACAAAAGTTCATCTATACCTCTTCAATTCAACTATGAATTCACAAAACATGCTGGTTCATTTTATCTTTCTCTTATATTTAATATTAATCCATTTTTAATTTTCCATTTGTAGGTTTCCTAAGGCTTTTTATCTTTGTCTAACAGAACAATGTGATCTTCATATTTTAAACTGTTCCTGGTTTGACCTCCAATTTTGATTGCAGTTGTTATATATTCTGAAAGTGCCATTCTTAAATACATTCATTGTAAAAGCTAAGCAGATATGGGGACAATGGGATCCTTGTCTATTTATTCTGTTTCTCCTAACTCCACCATTCATTGTAAAAGTTCTTCAAAATAATAATCAGAAGTTCTAGCATGATCTGCCTCTTAAAAACCTTAAATGTTCCCTTCAATACCATTTTGTGTTAGTTATCTAATCATGTATTCCTCTGCCTTTTCTGAAACCTTCCGGCTCATTTGGCAATTTTCTGACCATATATGACTTTATTCTTCTTTGTAAGATCTTAAGCAAACCTTTGTTTGTGTAAGGAATGAGTGTAATATTTTGACAGTATGCGAATATACACTATTTTTCAATCTATGGCCCATGGTGTTGTTTCATATTTGTTGACATACAGCTGTTTGTACTTTAGATGTTTCTTTTCGGAAAACTTTCAATAGTTCAGTCAGTTCATCTCTGATGCTTTTCTACAAATAATTTATTGCTCTCGTATATCACTTTTAAGTAGAGTCAGTTCCTAAATGCATTTTCTCTATATAAATTGATTTATGTTACTTACTTATTTAAAAAAATTCTATGTCTAAACATCTTAAGACACAACTCTGGGTGGCCATGCAAATGTTTTTTGTCATTCTATACTAATCCTAATTTCAAGAGATTTCAGTATTCAATTGTTCTATAACTACATTTTCTTTCTCTATGTCCTAGCTCCCATGTACACATACTGTATATTCCCATCATGCTATTTCTTTCAAGGTAAGCAACATTATATAAAATATATAAATACAAAGAAACAAAGCTATGAGACAGGAGAAAACAAAAGAAAATATAACTACATCTAGTTTACAGCTCCCCAGTTCACTATATTTATCCGTCCTTGCAAATCATCCTTGCTTTTAGTACATTCCCATGCTGATTCCTACATTATTTTTTGGTCTTTGAACTTCTCATTTTCCTTTTTCTAAGACCTCATAGGCTTCTGCAACTTTCTCAGTCTTCTCCTTCCTCTCAATTGATAAACTTCTTTTATGTCTTAGCCCTAATTCATTCTGTATTTATGATCAAGCTACCTCAATAAACTTATTTTATTCAAAAAGGTGATATACTTTTAATTGCCCACTCATTCTTGATCTTATCTCTTCTGCTTTTACCACACATACTTCTTAAGCACCCAACTCCTACTGCATGCAGCCACAGGCAGAAACACATTGTCACTGTGGCACTGTCTCCACCCAGTTTTATACTACAAAGTGCAACTGTTGGTACAATAGAAGAATAAAAAGCATACAAAGAGCATCCACACAGCAAAATTGCCTATCAGCCTATTGACTCGGAATTTGAAAAGTCTCTTGAAACTATTAAAATGTCTCAGCAGGTGGCAGCACCTGGAAAATTTTCTTTTGTCAGATGCTTAGCATCTTCTGATACATACTTTGAAAGAAAACCTTCAGGAAACAGCAGGGCTGGAAGCTGCGGTGGGCAGTAGGTGAAAAACATTATGGAAGAAGTTAATGGCATATATTACTTCAAATATAATTTCAACATTTTATAGCTTTGCACTGGCCTTAGATAAAGTAATGAAATAAGTGTAAGGAGGAGTTTTTCCATACACTTGTACAGAACCAATATGATTTTCCCCCATAGACATAGCATTTAACACATGGTTCTTTCATTGCCATGTCTGTGTTTTATGCAAATATGCATGTGCCTTTGGTATCCAAATGTATTTATTTGTTTGTTTGTCCTATTTGTAAACTTCCCGTCTCCCTCAAAGACATTGTTCATTTACAATAGGGTTCACATTTTGTTTTATTGGAATTACAGTATAAACGTTTCTTAGCTTTGTACAATGCTTGAAGTGGTTTTGGAAAGTTGCTCTTTCTTCTGTTGATGGCTGAGAATGTCTGACTCAACCTCTGACAAGTTGATTATTTGTAATACAGTTTTTTTTACAGATGATATGGTACCCTTAACCATTCCCTTTGATATCTATGCATTAACTGACAAGCTATAAGAGTTTTCTCATCTATTGCAGAACCACTGCTAGGATTGGTAAATTAGAAAAGTTTATATTATTGCAGGTATCCTTGATTGTATAGCTATGCTATAGATAAAATCAAATCAAATATAAAACATTTGCCTTAATGTACCTGTGTATCATAGGGGCCTATACTCATATTTTGCAGTATTCGTTTCAAAAAATTGGTGACATCTTTCCATTCAAAAATACTGTTAGATCCATCAAGAACAAAGACAATATCCAGCTGGGACTTGCATTCTGCAACAGGAAACATAAAATAAGGAAATGTTCGAAGCACACAGTGGTTTTTCTGTTAAATTGATACTCTGCTACTCCTTTAATTTCAAAATAAATTACTCATAAGAGATATGATGTATCTCTGATACAATTAATATGCAACATGAACTGCTTTTAGTTTCTACATTTCATTGCACTATTATCTATTTTTCTAGTATAGTTTATACAGTAGAAACCTACACAATGAAACACATCCAAGCAGAAGTTGAAGGATGAAGTTTTTGAGTTGCTGTAATTTGAATCAGTGCCTTTGGAAAATGTTCATTAAAAAAGTTATGCTTGGTGAACGGAAATGAAGGTTCATCTTCTATGGTATTATGAAATTCATTGGGCTATTTTGGACCAGTCATTCTTTCTCTGCCCAGCCTGAAACTCAGCCTATTTTGCCTCTGGAGGAAATGTTGGACTCATTGCTTGCACTGATATACTGATTCTTTGGTTCTGAAGCTTGTTACAACTGGATGGTGATAACTCATCAGTGCAGGAGATGGAGCTATTGATCCAGTCTAGAAGGTTTCAGATTAAAAAACTCCTAGCATCTTGAGATGTTCTGACATGACATAGAGTAGCTTTGTGGACAGGAGAGAGCATGTTTTGGTTAATGAGCATTTCATGAATACTGAACTTTTGCCCAGCTACATGGAGATCGAGAAATATCTCAAGAATAAAGAATGTTTTCAATTTTCAATTATTCATAACTATGTTTAAAATGTGATTTTAAAATATAAACAGTTTTATTAAGATTGCTATATAGACATTCTACTTAAGATCTATTATACTTCAAATGTTTCTTTGGTGTGTGTCTTGTGTCCACTGCTAACCATTTTAGCTATTTCAGAATGCATAATTACAGAAACAAGCTCTTCATACAGCTTGTCACACATCATGGTGATTGTCTTGAAGAAATCACAGATGCCTCTAATATTTAGAACTCATTAAGTCTAACTACATGAGTGGTTTGTTGGCTCTGGAGTTATATTACTACCACGTGTAGGGGTGGTAGTAAAGCATCATTTGTATATATAAAAAAGAAACAGCTGCAGTGGACTTGAATAGAAAAGAAAATTAAAAGTAATGGGAAAGGACATTTGTTTTAATTGTCCTGAACCAAGGAGCAACTTAAAGAAAGGAAGAAGGAAGATGGTAGGGTAGCAAATCATATCCTCCAAGAAGGGCTTCACAAAGTATTTTTGAAAATAATGTTTTTAATATGATTAAAATGTCATCCCTGCTTCTGGGAATCAGCACAAAGAATGGAGCCTTGTGACTCACAAACACCAATGCAAGGACAAATATTTCATCTTCTTAAATTAAAGAGGCATGTAGCTTTCTGTGATGGCTTGAAGATTATTTTTAGACTGATTTTCATTTGTGAGTAATGCTATGAACCTGTTTATACTAAAACTAAATTACAGGGACAGTAAGCATTTAAGTAATATACAAACAGGGATACCATTTACCTAACTTGGTCATGCCAGTTGCCTTGAAAATTAGTTTATAATTCTGATATAACTCTGTGTATATATTAGACTTTTTTCAAGCTCCATCTCCGCTCAACAGATACAAAAACAATTTTCATATACACATACCTCGCAATGGAGCAATGGAATTTACAACCTCAAAATTGGAGCTAACGTTGGAACAGATGCCTGTTGTATAATAGGAATGTCCACATTTATAAGCATAAAGAGGCCCGCATGCCTTTGATAAAGAAAAAAAAATACTTTTTACTGTTTAAATAATTCACCATATTTTATAGTAGCTATTTTGATATCCACAATGGTTGGAAATATACTTACTGAAGTCCTAAATGAAAACTATAAAACATTGCAATAGCAATATGATGGCACAGCCATAACAGAACCAACCAAAGGGATCTGATCCAGTTTTGGAATTCTGTGCAGTACAAACTTATTCTTATTATACTTGGGTGCTAAACAAGGAAGTTTAAAAAAACCCAGGAACCCAACAATTCAACCCTTAGCATTTATTCTCTACCACAGTAACAAAATTATTGCTCTCAATATATCTGATAAATATATATCTGATAAATACACACATTGTATATAAGATAAACAGGTATATGTAATTCTAGATTGTGTCCCATGCTCCTAGGTCATTCCAATATCACAGTGGAGGCATGTGTTACTCTGCTTTCATTAGAGACACATTTGCCAAACATTTGTCAGCAATGCCCCTCTGGATTTTACACAGAACAAACTAGTCAGTCATTGTGAATAATAATAATAATAATAATAATAATAATAATAACAACAACAACAACAACAACAACAACAACAACACTTATATGTTTGACATCAAGATTCAAAACAAGGGCAAAACTAATATAAGATCATTTAAGTCCCATGAAATTCCATTAAAGATCTCCAAGTAGGCATTTTGGAAAAAAAATAACTTTATCAGCATAATTCAGGGAAAGATTGCTTAATTCACACATATCAAAGGACTTCATGCTTTTAAAAAAAAACAAAACTCTCGGCACTGACAAGGTTTTTTTTAGCACATTATAATTGTTATTAGAAAAGGTACTTGTAGATCTGTCTCAATGCAACCAGCATCTCCATAACCACCCTATTTTTCTCCTCAGCTTATCCCAATTTAAATCTTGTATCAGTTTAGCTAATTCAAGCATCTGAGGATATAAGCTTTGGTTCATGAAAGCTTAAACCTTATAAATTAATTTGTTATTTGAAAATATGCTACCAAACTCTGATTTTTTTTTTAATTCTTAGGCTAATACAGTTCTCCTCCTTCAATAATTACTCCTTGGCATGGAATATAAAGTACCTTTGATAGTTCCAAGAATCTGTGCTGGTTATCTATGCATCAAGAGGCTTTTCTCTCTATTTTATTAACACTGATTGAGTCCATTTTTCAGGAGCACAATTCAATTCATGGATCTTGGACATTTTAGTTCCCACTAATCCTGCAATTCTCTGCACTACCTGAACATTTGTAGCCATGCTGGCTAGTAATTCTGGCAGTTGAAGTCCACATGTCTTAGTGTTGCCAAGGCTGAGAAACACTGCTTTAGAGCATCACTAAGCATGTCATGAGAAGTGGGAGAAGGAGTGGGAGAAAGATGGCAACACTGGCTAAAAGTGGGTCTCCTCATTTCTATCTGTAGAATCATTGCTGGATCTAGTGCACGGGTGTCAAACTCACCACATCACATGATGTGTTGCGACATATCGCAACTCTTTTTGCATTGCCGGCAATGGGGTGGGTGAGGCTTTGGTATGATGAAACCGGCCCGTGGGCCGGCAGTTTGACACCCCTGATCTAGTGTCTTACATGGATGATGATGTCATCCATTCACTCATGTTCAACTCTTGGCATTTCTACAGGCCAGGTCTCTCAACATCTTCCAGTACTGCACTACTGCCTTAAGTTGTTCTATGTTCTGGCTGCTGTCAGCTTTGATGGTGTCCAACTACCGTGTTCTTTGGCGGTCTGGGTTCCTTTTACTACTAACTCTTCCCAACATAATTGCTTTCTCCAGTGAATTCCCCAGCATGACATGGCCAAAATGAGTGAGATGTAGTTTTGTGATTTTGCCTTCCTTATGTGGATAGAAATAGTTTCCCATTATTGTGTATAATTTCCCAAAAGTAGTTAGATTCCAACCTTGTCAGACCAGATCACCAAGTTTAATATTCAAGAGTGATAGAAACTTTAATCCAACAATATCCGGGCAAGTTCTGTATTCCTTCTATAAATGGAAAAAAATTCATATGTGGAAGCCTTTCATGGTAAATATTACAGTATTGATTATAGTAAATATGCATATTGTTTTTTATTTTCCCCAAGAGATATATGCTCACCAAAAACCCTCCTTTGGGATTCGTCACTAAGGTTGACCCAAGAGTCATATTCTCCTTTACTTCTGTAACTTGAGGAATTGAAGTGTCAGCTATAGATAGATTAAACATAAAGTTAATTATGGGAATATATGCAAACGAGATATTAAATCAAGTAGTATTTAAAATGCCAAATTTGTATGCAAAACATGGATCTTTTTGTCTTCTTTTCCTTTCTTCTCCCTGTTCCCTCTTGGTTAAAACTATGAAATACATAGCTTTTCTGGCTTTCATCCCAGAATCTTCGTCTGGGATAATGCTTCACATAGTTTTCCTGAACCTCAAACAGAATGTCAAAATAGCAACAGGGTGACAGTAGAAGATATGAATCCATTTAAAATTGAAAATTAGGAACAAATAAACTTTTTCATTTTCTGTATAGCTCTAGTGTTGGATCAGTAAATTATCAGCTGCATACATAATATGTCAGTGGGCAATAAAGGTTATGGGAACGGCAATGTAGTAGAACTCACACTAGTTGCTTTGTTAGCAAAAACTGTACAACTGACATTGGAGGAAGTTTCTGGACCTTTGGTAAAAGTTTCCGAGAAGTAGCAAATATAGCTGAAAGACCCATTACAAAAAGGGGAAATGAGTGGAAAGAGAATATTGAAATTTACAGATGGTCCTCAACTTACGACCACTGTGACATGTCATGCTATACACGTCCCAATCACGTAACTGCGTTTTGGATGCTTGGCAATTGGCTACAACTGGTAGCAGCGTCCTGCAGTCACGTGATCATGATTTGCTATGTTTTTTGTCTGTTTCCAGCATTTTTTGCTGGAAGAATGACTTTGGAGTTATGACTGCAGATTTGCTTAACAACAGCTATGAAAATCTTGTAAAATAGGGTCTGTCATGTGGGTGCCTCAACTTATGATGGTAATGACTTATAGTGTAGTCAGAAATACTGTTCCAATCATGGTTGTAAGCTGAGAACTACTTGTATACCATTTATATAAAAAAGCTATCTTGTAGCACTCTCTTCCTCTTTGCAGAGAGGACTAATTTCTTTTTATCACCTAGCCTGTTTAGTGAGCGTCCTTTGATTATGATGCTTGTTATCTCTGGCTTTTTAGCTAAACAAGTTTTGGCTTCTAACTTGATTTTGTTAAGGTAGGTGAAATTGCAATTTTTTTCATTGACTTTCTTACCTGGCAGGTTTAATTTTACACATGGCAAACCATTACCCTGTCCTACAGGGCATTTATAGACATCACCTGTTTTCTTCTGGGGCTGACCAGCCAAAGGAGAACCAATAAGCACCCTGAAGAATGATAATATATATATTGTCAATGCAGTACATAATATTTGCTTTGGTACATTAAATAAATGTAATAATTTACTATCTAATATAAGTTGTATGTAAAAAAGCTAGTGGGATAAAATGTGTTTACAATAGCAGATAGGAGTATCAAGTTAGAGCAGCTTCTCTAATTAGTTATTCTTTGTCTGAAAACACCATAAAGTGTTCATTATGACCTATGAAATCCTAAATGACTAAGGAATCATTACGTTATAGAGGTTTGGGAAGGGATGAAAGGGGGAGATAATAATTAACTAATTAATAATCTCACCATTTTCCCTCTTCATTTTCAAATTGCTGCACACTATATCCAAACATGTCTTCCACAGGACCACTAAAAGTCATTGTATCTTTCACATCAACGTTGAATGACAAAGAGAGATGCAGCAGAACTGTTTTTGTAAAAAAAGGAAAGAATGGAGAAGATTAAACCAATCTCAATGACGAAGTTTACATGCTGCCTAAAGGCCATCAGAAATTTGAAATTGAAATACATTCTCAGCAACAGTGATCTGGAAGACACATGACACCACATTATAATAGATACATTGAAGGCTTCCTATTGGACTGTTGTGTGTTGAATTTGTTACTTAAGTGTACTGTTAAATAATAAAGCTTTTTTCGAATCAAATATTCTGTTGTTGCAACAGCATCTGGTCAGTTTTGTGTAATGGATAAAGTATGGGATTTTTATTGGGATGGAACATAGAAGATGGAATATGGGATTTGATCTGAAAGCCATCCACTGGAAGATTAGTGGGCTTCCTTGTGCAGTTGGTTGGCCACGGTGAAAACAGATTGCTGGACTAGATGGGCCAAGAGTATGATCAAACAAGTCACTGCAGATGATTGCCAAAACCAGATTCATATCTTTCCTCAGCTGTACTACAATTTGTCATGATGTCATATTGTCACCAACTGTGATTGAAGGAAACAGAAAGGCAGAAATAACATAAACAGACTACCTTACACTATTCAGTGATGAAAGAAAAAATTCAAAGCATTGTTTTCTAAAGGATAGACTATTTTGTCTTTAGTATAACCTCTCACCAAAGGCACTAGAGATTATTATCTAAACATTACATATTTGGTGACTCATAGTGTTATTTTTCTTTCCTACAGGATTCCTACATTTTGCTTTAATGTAGGATAAATAAACCTGACCACACACCATGATTGCACATTAAATATACGACAGCGAAGTTCAGAAATTAGTATTTCACAGCATTGTTCCCCGATATGTGTGCAACTCACTCTGCATTAGGTGCAAATGAAGAAATACCAGGGCAATGTGTTTTGATAAGGTAAAACAGAAAACTGAACTTGGCTCCCAGCAACTGCAAGGAAATTAGACAGTTTCCTGGAAATTGGATTATCTTTGTCATATTCCAGGATTGGGGTTTTTTTTTTTTTTTGAGTTTAGAGTTACTTTCCATCTTAGTTTACAGGCTTGGAATTCCCCGAGTGTCTCCTATTCAAGAATTAACCAGATCAATCTCTGCTTAGCATCAAAACCCAGGTAATTTCAGCCAGCCAGCCAGCCAACCAACACCAACCAATTAAATAAATAATGAACAAAATCCCTGAAGTAGGCTTTCTTCTAGGGTGCACTGGTTTTCAGTAAGGAGAGTTTTGGAGCTATGTGAAAGGTTTCTTTTGTAATTTTCTCCCTTAAGATTCAGTCAATGTGATTGGGAAAGAAATGGCTTTGTCAGAGAGAAGAAAACATGGTAAAATTCTGGTAGTGGGGGACAGGGATTCTTGTAGTCCCATAGTGATGATGAATAAAACAAGCTTCTTTCCAGGGAATGAAGTCAATCTTGCCATGGGCCCTTTAGAGATTAACATAATCAGAGAAGATGCAAAACACAATAGAAATAGAGAAGGGTTAAAGTATTTTAAGAATGAAAGCTCTTTTGCAGAAGAAATGTTTTAAAAAGAAATTAGAATTTAGATTTTAGCACAGTGTTAGAAACATCCATGCTATTATGCTTTCTAAATGTCATTCCTGAAATATTTTGAGATTCAAGAAACTTTTTTGATGGAGTGCAAGCTGTGATTCTTGGAAGTACCGAGTATAGCTCTCAGAGTGCCTCCTACGTCTTCCTCTATTGAACAGTACTGTTTAATGTGATATCAAGGGCAAGTTATTAACAATTAAAAAATGGTCACCTAAACTGTCTTAAATTAAATGCAGTTATTTTCCCACGAGCCTGCCTAATTCACACAGGGCAACCCCTGGCAGGCTACTGGAAAGTATGTCTGACCCTTGTCTTGAAAAGGGTTGCACACCCATCTTACTTTGATATCTATTTTAAGTAATATTTTGTCTGATATTTTCATTATTAGAAATAATTTCAAAATAAGACTACAACAGACTTAAAATTGCTGCACATAAACTAAAATAAATTTTAGTTTTTTTAAAATACACATTTTTATACTTTCACAGTAAAACATCTCTATGTTTAAATTCATAAAGTTCTATGATGCAGAACATTAATGACGAAAGAAAACAGAAAGGAAAGCACCCCAAATTGATGTTAAAAATTTACATGAGCAGATATTGTTTAAGCTGGTGCTGAAAGTTATAATTTCAGTTCTAACCACAAATGAACTAGGAAGGAATTCCACAAATCAGGTTCTAGTACAATGAATGTCCTGTTTGAGGTCACCACACTGGGAAGCAAAGCAAACATGACACCTTCAAAGTGGCTTCTCTGCTAGATTTTAAATCACAGGCACTTAGAGAAAAAGTGCTCTGCCAGGCTCCTGATTGTGTTCAGTCCTATGTCAGTTGGAAAGAGAACAGTGATCTTTTGTGCATTCTATTTCTTTAATGTATTTGGCACTGAAAACATTTCTTGTGGATTATGTGCTCAGGAACATAAAACATTGTAAGAAGCTGTTGACGTTTAAGTGACGCTAGGATTCATCATGCCTTTTATGACTGCCTCATCAAATTGCTTAGGGCCATTTATAGTAGTAGAAGTTGAAAAAAAAATGAAAAAAAAGACTGCCTATTTCCATTAGTATTCTTTTGACTAATGAAAATACTGCTGAGGCAAAATAGTTTTTGTTTTTTTTTTAAAAAGAAATCCTGGATAGTCAGAGAAGATAAAAAAGCACTTTTTTTGGCTTTGCTGTTATGAAAAGTATGAAGAAGTTTTAAGAGGAAGCCCACTACAAGTGGGAAGGATAATCCAAAACTTGTATACATGAACAATTATTGCTATTTAATGGAAGACTAATGTGGAGATGTCTGTGTATGCACGCATGTCTGTGTATGTCCACTTTATTCCCCTCTTCCCAATATAATCAGATTTTGATATATCCGCAGTACATGCAAACAGACTAGAAAGGGTTTATGCTAAAAATTTGCAGTAGTTCAAAACACTTTTTAAAAATACACCTTCCTATCTGGGTTGCAAATATCTAACACGACTGCTAGTGGATAGCAAAGAGACAGAAAAAGCGCTTCTGATGTCCTCTAGTTCTCTTCTGTATTTTTAGTCAGATGTTGTAGGCCTATTTCAAACACAAGTTGTTTATTTACAACCATTCATTTTGCAACCATTTAAAAAAGTGACTTATAACCAGTCCTTATAATGAGCATCCCATCATGTGATCAAAATTCAGGTATTTAGCAACCAGCATGTATTTATGATGCTTACATTGTCCTGGGATCATGTAATCACCATTTGCAAACTTCCCAGCTGGCTTCTGACAAGCAAAGTCAATGGGAGGAAGCTGGTAATGTCTGTGTGATTCACTTAAACTGCAATGATTTGCCTAAGAACTGTGACAAAAAAGTTCAGAAAATTGGACGCAACCCACTTAACCACCACCTTGTTTAGCAATGGAAATTCTGGTTCCAATTGAGGTTGTAAGTTGAGGCCTATCTATGAACAGAAAACACCACACAATAAAGCGGGCATTCTCATGGGCCCAAACTCTTAACTAAATGTTGAGAAGGGAAAAATTGGAAAAGTGAGAAACAAGAAAATGAAGCAAAGAAAAAGGGCATTGTGGGTTGGCCAGATCCTGAATAAACATTCAATACTGCAATATTTTGTTGCAGGTCCCATTGGATCCAAGCACTCTCTCATGCTCTTCATCTATTCTAAGCCAATGTTTTTCAAACTTGGCAACTTTAAGATGTATGGACCTCAGCATGTTGATTGAGAAATTCTGGAAGTTGAAGTTCACATATCTTAAAAGTTACAAGTTTGAGAAACATTGATCTGAGGCAACCAAGAAATGCAGAGTGGAAGAACTATGCAAATATTAATGCTTAATGCTAAGGATAATTGGGACTGAGCAGGTGAATTATTTGCTTTTGACAGATTAAATGAATTGTTCAAATCAATTAACATAGAAAGAAAAGCAGCACAATCATGTCCTTAGTGTATGCTTGTATAGCCAGTGCACATTTTATTCATAAGCTCACCATTTTTGCTCTAATACTAAATATATATTGTAGTAAATAATATTTTTCCCTTCTTCTCTTTGAACCAAACAGTTATTTGAATACCAACCATAGTTTGAAGTCTTCTGGTAAAAAGTCAGACAGTAGAAAACCTTATCTTGGTCCACTATTCAATAATCGTCTAACAAATGCTTCTAATTTCCTTCCAGATTTTTGCTGCTAAAGCTATTTCAATATTATAAAGCTAATGTGTTTAGAATCCTCTGCCATCTGAAAAATATGCTTGTTGGCATTCATTGTGGAATTTTCCTCAAGCCCTATTAACCAACTTCAATCTGAACTATTTAAAGGCTACATCAGAAATGTGTATTGCTATTAATTTCACACTTGGCTAAAAATCAGAATTTCTGATAAAACCTTACACAAAGCTTTCTATTTATCAGTGAAACATGCCTATTTATTCCTATAACCATAAAAGAACTTTTGTTTAAGTTCTCTTCTAGTTTTTCTGTCTACATCTTTAGCCTTTGCTAAAGAAGAAAGTGATATTTTCAACTATTACTCATAAACAATAAATACATTAAAATACTGTTCTATCTATTAAATGCAGGCAACAAGTAAAACACAAATAAATATTTTGCAGAAAGCTTAAGTCACACAATCAATATTTCCTTGGATTTAACAGTAGACCATTAAAATCTAGCATGTAAGATTGTTCTCTTCAGAGTAACATATACATTAGAAGTAATTTATTCAGACTGCATTTAAATGGACAAATAAGTCAAATGTATCTTTCTAAGTGGATAAAGCTGAGGAATCTGGGGTGAAGCTCTGGTGCATAAAAATGGAACTTGTATACAACCCAAGGCAATATAACATGGTAGACTAGAATTTGATCATGTTGCTATGACATACACCACTATGTCGTTTCAACTGTGGGTTGATCTGGCTTCAGACAATACAGCAAAGTGAACAAATA